CCAGATGACCAATCTTCTGTGTCCCTCCCCTGCCCAATCATGGGGAGTAATGTATAATAAATGACTAATATATAATAAAAGACTAATATGCAAATAGAGTGAATGGCGGAATGGCCGGTCACTATGATGCACACTAACCACCATGGGGCAGACACTCAATACAGGAGCTGCCCCCTTGTGGTAAATTTGCTCCCACTAAGGGAGTGCCACTCATCCAGAAGCCCGGCCCATAGCTGGCGAGCACAGCTGCAGTGGTGGGAGCCTCTTCCACCTCCGTGGCAGTGCTAAGGATGTCCAACTGAGGCTTAGGCCTGCTCTCTGGGCTCCAGAACTGCAAGAGGGTGCAGGCTGGGCTGAGGGTCCCCCCCCTCCTTGAGTGTATGAACTTCGTGCACTGGGCCTCTAGTTCAGCAATAAAGTACTTAACTTTTTTGTAAGTCATTAAAGTCTTTTACTTAATCTTGTTACCTAATTCATTTCTGTGCATTTGAACATCCTTCTTTCTGCTAAAATGGTCTTGACTATATTTTTTAGTTCTTTAGCAGCACATACAATAATTTCCAGCTTTCAGCTTTATTCTAGGGGAAAAGGCCACTACACCACTTTCTCAATAGTGGGCTGTTGTAGCTGGTTCACTCAAGAGTTTTTGAAAATGTAGAGTTTAAGTTTTTAAAAGAAGATTTGAACCGTGGTTAATCGTTCACTTAATTTACATTCACTAAGTGGCAAATATGTGATAGCTAGTAAACTGCATGACAATGTCTCTAGCCCTTTGCATAGTTGCTTATTGATGGAATATATTTGTTTAGAATACACAAAGCATGTTTTTAACTTTATTCCTTGTCAAGTTTTACTTTAAAGTTTTAAGGTTCAATATTTGTTTGCATAGGGGTTTGGTTTATCAGAATGAATACCATGTTATTAATAAAGTTGTGTGTTGTTTACACATAGAAAAATAAGCTCTTTTGGTGTCCACAGAGAAGTGTGGGTCCTGTTTTCCATTAATGTAGGGACTTGGATATATTTTCTAATTTTGAGCAAGATACAGAATTCATTTTAGTTGGAGTAGGTAACTCTGCTCTAAGCTTCAAGAGTTTAAGTCATTTTAGGAAATATGTATATTGGTCATGTAGAAGACTAATTAGAAATAAATTACATGAATTTGGTAATATTGAACACTTCAAAATGTATGATTCAGGTGGATTTTTCTTTTTGTTTTTAAATGTTAATAGTTAGCTAATAATGAATGTGGATTATTATTATAAAATTTTGGTAAATTTATGACTCACTGTATGTCTGTGTAATGGGAAGAACTGGCAGGAAGGAGAGGGATCTTATGATATCTTGGAGGCTCCATGTGATACAGAGGACAGATCTAGGTCAAGTTACCAGCTTCCTTATGCTTCAATTTGTTTATCTATACTGGGGGTATGGTAAACCTACCTGAGAGAATGGAGACATATGTGCAAGTGTTAAATATTTTTTATGTTATTATTACTCCTGATGAGAGTCTAGCTTAGCAAAGGTTCTCATGCCCAATAGATATATTATTTATTGATACTCAGGTAAAATTATTATTTTTATATTTCACAAATGCGAGGGACTACTGAAGGCAATTGTTAAACTTATTATTGAAAATTTATTTAACTTAATGTTATACAAATTGAGAAAAAGAACGAAAAAATTACTAAATTACCAAATCAAGTAGATTAAGGTATGAGGAAATGATTCTACTCCTCCTTTAGCTTGCCTGCAAACAAAGTTTTAAACTCTGTATATCTATATCTATATTATATCTATATCTATATGTGTGTATATGTGTGTATATATGTGTGTGAATATAATATATATATATATATATATCTAAAGCCATGTCCATATCTATGTCTATCTATATTTCTATAAATATACCTCCTATCCCCTCTGAATGATTAAAGAAAGAATGTTCATTTCTCCAGATCCCTGAGATCCATTATCTAGAATGTTGGACATCTGAAAGATTATCATTTCAGACTAATCCAGAGGCTACTAGTAAGAATGCAGGGCTGATTCTTCCTCAAAATGTACTTTTTACTATAAGAACTCTCAGCTTTTCTTTCTTCTTCACAACACTCTGGCCATTGCCCACTTGCAATTTGAGTTTGCAAACCCTAAGACCCTTGAATTAATCTTTGTCATGTATTTCTAGCCAAAGCCTCCTGGTTCATTTATCCTCCATCAACAAAGTGTATTCTTGGTCAGATGATTTCAATGTGCCCTTAAACTCAACTATTTTGAGTGGGCACATTTATATTAAAAAGAGAAAGGCTGGTTTTTAAAGTTGTAAAATTGAGTTAATATAATTCAAAACTGTCTATAAAAGGAAGATTTACATTTTGGGCTAGTCTCTGTTGTGGTATGAAATACCATAAAATGTGAAACTCTACATCTGTCCCAACCTTTCCTTCTTCCTTTTACTTCAAGGCCGACTGCACTACTGATTCCATCCTCTCTCACTCTTCAAGAAATGGAAGGGAGAGAGTCTTAACTTCCTTCTATTCCCAAATCCACAACTGGGTACCATCCCAAGTCTCCTCTTTTACATAGCCAAACTTTTCAGAATTTTTAATACTTTCTCCACAGTCTCAATGAATTGCCATCATATTCACTTCTCAAGCTACTTTATTTTAGCTTCTCTATCAGTCATTTCAACAGCTATGGTTACAGCTGACTCCAATGAACACATTTCAAACTTGAGCCTGTCTCTAGGGCACTCAACATTCATCTTTTATTTCAAGTGTCTCAGTGTCTGCTTGTATAATCCATGGGAATTCTTCCAATTATAGCATTTATTCATTGTACTGTATTTCTTTGCTTACCTATCTGTCCCTTCCACCAGATTGTGAAATGTCCCAAGGAAAGACTTACTCTTTTTTTTTTTTAATATATTTTATTGATTTTGTACAGAGAGGAAGGGAGAGAGATAGAAAGCTAGAAACATCGATGAGAGAGAGTCATCGATCAGCTGTCTCTTGCACACCCCCTACTGGGAATATGCCCACAACCAAGGTACATGCCCTTGACCAGAATCGAACCCGGGTCCCTTCAGTCCCCAAGCCGACGCTCTATCCATTGAGCCAAACGGGTCTCGGCAAGACTTACTCTTGATCCTTCTTTGTTTCCTGCCATTGCCAGCACTGGCTAATGTACAGTGTGAGTGGGATTAGCTCTATGCCTTCTTCCCAGAACTAACCATTCTTACCACCAGGCCATTTGGGAAGAAAATGATAAAACCCATATGCTCTTGGACATCTGCATGAAACCTGCTATGTAAATTTCACTGCTCAGTCAATATTTTAAAACTTGCTTGCCAATGTACTCAACATTAATTGCATAAACCATATGATTATGCCCCGAGATATGGCTCAGTTGATTGAGTGTCATCCCATCACCAAGAGGTCTCCAGTTGGACTCCTAGTTAGGTCATGTGCCTGAGTTTGATCCTCAGTAGGAGCTGTGCAAAAGGCAGCTAATCACTGTTCCTATCTCTCTCTCCCTTCCTCTCTAAAGTCCGTAAAAACATGTTTAAAAAATAAATTAAAAACCATACACTCCCACCACTAGCCCACTTCTAGCCGAGGGACAGAAGTAGGCAAGAGGTTGGAAGGTTTAGGGAAGAGAGAGCTAAAAACAGATGTGGCACAAAATGGAACAAAGGGCCAGATGAAGTAACTGCCATTGGAGTCTGTCTTAACCATTAACCTGCCAAACAAAACCTAGCTCCAGAGACTGGTGTAAGTGCTTGATAAATGGGGAGGAGGAGGGTGAGTGGGGGAAGGGCGATGGAGAGGCAGTGACAGGGAAGAGAATAAGAAGTAATAAGAGATCGTGTTTATTGTTTACAGATATGAATCCAATACTTAATACACAATGATTAAGTGAATTGTGGAAAATGCCTATAAAGAAGGCTGCGAGTTCATAGTTGACACCTACCTACAGCATAATAAAGGCAAAACAATCATGGGGGGGGAGAAGAAGAAGAAGAAGCAGGCTGGGAGAGGGGGACAGCAGCTTGGGAAGTTGGGTCTGTTGGATGCTACTTTAGCATCTACTAAGTAATAAAAATCTCATTCCTTTCTAACTACTTTACTACATTTACTATTATGTATGCTCAAAAGGTTTTTTATGTCTCCTGAGTCCAGAGCTCTCTTCATGGGCATGGAATCTGAGCAGTCACACAGCCTTGCACTCAGAAAGGGTGTGTGTTTGGTTTAATGCTCTACTGTCGACATCTCATTAATAGATTTTTTTTAACACGTTTTCATTTTGTACTGTGATCCACAAATTATGTTGAGGGCCCTGATTGCATGTGTATGGTGGAATTACTGTACAATGGTATGCTACTTAACATCTCTTCCCAATTCATGGTTCAGGTTACTCTGTTGGCAGCTTGAAACAGGATATGGTGGACATTCGCAAACACTAGAACTCAGAGTGAGCACCACATGTAAAACATTCACCAACACACCACTGGTCAGGCCACACTATATAAATATAATGATTACACATGCCCACCACTAGTCTACAGACCGTGTGGGTTTTGATACAATTGCAGAGTGGAAAGGAGGTCTTCGATATAGCAGTTTACCATTTATTTGTGGCAATGAAGAAAAATGATGACCTCAACCTTGGCATTATTTCAAAACCTAACTTCAAATTTCCCTTGATTGAAAAAGGTCTCTCTTGAAATATGATCTCCAGGAGGATGTAGGAGGTTGTCCTGAGTGAAGATTTGCATCCCTTAATAAAGAGCTGCAAATCCTGGAACTTGCACTTACCTCCTCTGGCCAAGCCCGAGCTGCCTGCCACTCCCATCGCTATTCCTCTTTCCGGGGAAGAGGGAGCTCTCCGGAGGCCTCCGGGAAGCAGCGGGCAGCGTGATCATTCCCAAGCGCCAGGCTTCGGAAAGCTCATCCTCTCCCGCTTGCCTGGAAACTGCCGGCAATCCGCAGCACAGAGTGATGGAGACCTCCTGGCTGGAGATGCGCTGGACAAGGTCCTTTTACCTGGTGTTCGTGTTATTCCTGACCCTAGTGCTGCTGCAGGCCATCAAGCTCTTTCTGCGGAGGCAGCAGCTGCAGCGAGTTCTGCGTGCCTTCCCAGGTCCATCCCCCCACTGGTTAATAGGCAACCAGAAGGTAAGAAGGAAGAGAGGGGCAAAGGAGGATGCTGGAAACAGGGCGGGCAGAGAGGCGACTGCTTATTTCCCTTCCTCCCATCCTTCCATCCTGCACAGACCTCTCTGGCCCAGTTTGTGGCTCTCCACGTCTTTTCCTTTTGCTCCTTGCAGCCCTACAGGGGAAGGGAAACACCCTGGAGCTGAGTCTGGGAAAAGAAAGCATGATGTAACTCAGGTCTATCTCTTCTTCACCAGTCTTGCATTTATGTACTGCATTTTAAAAAGTTTTCCACGCGTATTGTAAAAGTATTTTTAGGAAGTATTATCCTAAATAATGATTATTAATTGCAGAAAATGTGCAAAATTGGACTCAATAGTTGCCAACATTAGACTATTTAAACTGGGGGAAAAAATTAGCTTTCTTTTCCTAAGATTCTTCTGAAGCAGGGAGCAGCCAATCACTCACAAAATACTGACTGACTTAAATTTGTGCCAACTTTTGGGTTCTCCTATTATCTAAATCACTCCTACCCCCGATTCCTTGTTTTATTAAAACATAAATTACTAATTCCTTTTAATGCATTAATTTCTAAAATCATATAGAAAACAAAAATTTAGTTACAAACCACTTCTACAATAATACTAGCTTTTATAATTGTCCACGCATTTACCTTTATTGAGATCCTTATGTCTTCATATGGTTTTGGGTTACTTAGCAGTGTTTTTTCATTTCTCCTTTGAGCATTTTTTAAAAATATATTTTATTGATTTTTTACAGAGATGAAGGGATGAGAGAGAAACATCGACCAGCTGCCTCTTGCACACCTCCTACTGAGGATGTGACCGCAACCAAGGTACATGCCCCTAACCAGAATCCAACCTGGGACCTTTCAGTCCACAGACCAACGCTCTACCACTGAGCCAAACCGGTTTCAGCTCCTTTGAGCATTTTTACAGGGCAGGTCTAGTGGTAATAACCTCCCTCAGCTTTTGTCTATCTGAGAAATGTCTTCATTTCTTCCTCAGTTTTGAAGGACAGTTTTGCTGGATATAGGACTCTTGATTAACGGTTGTGTGAGAGTGTGTGTGTGTGCGTGGGGGAGAGGGGCATGCCTGTGCCTACCACTTTGTGGGTTTTTTGTTTGTTTTTTGTTTACCATGAGATTATTTTATTGCAGAATATATGTTGGTAAATAATGGCTTAGAACAGTGCACCTATATATGCTTTGGTTTCCTTATCTGTGAAACAGGAATGAAAGAGTATCTCTCAGGATTATTTTTTAAATCTTTTTTTTTTTTTTGCATTGATCCTCATCTTTCCATTATTTCTTTTTTTAAATATATTTTATTGATTTTTTTTACAGAGAGAAAAAGAGAGGGTTAGAGAGTTAGAAACATCAATGAGAGAGAATCATCAATCAGCTGCCTCCTACACACCCCCTACTGGGGATGTGCCCACAACCAAAGTACACCCCCTTGACTGGAATCAAACCTGGGACCTTTCAGTCCACAGGCCAATGCTCTGTCCACTGAGACAAACCAGTTTCGGCTCAATGATTTCTATATGTAGAATTTACACAATGTGAGTGTTCATCTTTCCTCTTGATGCTAGACTTGGGGGAGAGGAGTGGTTCATAGATTGGTGCCAAAATGGGAGAAGAGCCAGATTCATGTGAGGCACGTGGGGGCTCTTACATACTGCAATATGCCCAAAGGCCAGAAGAAGAAAGTATTTTTAGGTGAGACTTTAGAAGACTATTTTTTAAATCTTTATTGTTGAAAGTATTACAGATGCCTTCCCTTCTGCAACTCACTGTCTTCTGTCCTTCAAAGTTTCGGATGGTAAATCTGCTGCTGATCGTACTGAGAATCCTTTGTATGTAAAGGGTCACTTCCCTCTTATTGCTTTCAAGGTTCTCTTTTTGTCTTTGATTTCAAAAATATGATTTTGTGTCTCTGGGTGAGTCTCTTTTAGTTCATCTTACTTGGAGTTCACTGAGCTTCTTAAATGTCTATATTCATGTATTTCATCAAATTTAGAAAATTTTCAGCCATTATTTCTTCAAATGTTCTCTTTATCTCTTTCTTTCTCTCTTCTCCTTCTGAGACTGTATGTTGGTCAGCTTGATAGTGTCTCATAGATTCCTTAAGCTCTGTTCACTTTCCTTCAATCATTTTTCTTTCTGTTTCTCAGACTCAATAGTTTCCATCATTTTATCAAGTTTATTGACATTTTTTCTTTCTGATTATATCTGCTTTTGTATCCCTCTGTGAGTTTTTCATTCCCATTATTGTACTTTAAATCACCAGCATCTTTTAGATTTGCTATCCTTTTGTTGATTTTTGTGTTTTGTTTATACATCACTTTTTAAATTTTTCTTCACCTCTTTCTTTCATTCTTTAGCACCTATATATAACACAGTTGTTTTGAAGTCTTTATCTAATAATGCTGCCCTTGGGTCTTTTTAGAGTCAATTTCTATTTGTTAAATTTTTCATTTGAATGGGTTATATTTTCTTGTTGTTGTTGTTGTTTGTGTGTGTGTGTGTGTGTGTTTGTATGCCTTGTGATTTTTTTGTTGAAAGTTAGACATTTCAATCTAATAATATGATTATTTAAGAAATAATATTCTCTCCCTTTTACAGGGTTTGATGGGGGGATTGTTTTAGGTTTTTTTGTTTTGTTTTGTTTTGTTTCTTTAGTTGTTGTAAGCTCTCTATGTAACAAGAATCATCATGAGGTGTAAATTTAATGTCTTCTCAGATCTTTTCTGAGCCTGTGCTTTTCCTTGAACAGGTGTGGCCACTCTCTAATTTTTCTTATATATACAATTACTTTTGAATGTCCTAGTTTTTAGTGTATGGTTCACAAACAAGAAAAAAGAGAAAAATGGCCGGAAGAAAAGGGAACTGGACTTTAAAATTCCCTAGAAGCCACTTCAGTTGATGAGAGCAAGGGGCTTGTAACAATGGGGGAGGTATAATAAAAATTACCTTTATCCTCTTTGTGTGCCCCTCTGTGATCAGAAGAAGTAATTCATAATATTTGTAGGACAAGGTACTTCTTCCCCATACATACCTCCATACCCCACTCTGTCCAAGCTGCTCCAGTAACTGTTCGCTATGGGACTGGAGGTGGGAGTGGGTAACTACTACTGTGTGAAGAGCTGAAATTGACAAAAAAAATAACTGCAATTTACAGTACAAACCTTACTCCTGGAAGGTGCAAGCCTTCAATAGACTCCAGAGTTAGAAAATAGGTATAGTTGACAAATTCTGCCAGTGCAGTGGGAAGACAGGTAACTGGTGCTTCTTAATCTGCCATCTTTCCAGAATCCTTCCCCCTAGCTAATTATTAATCCTTATTATGTGATCCTTTTCTCTCCCTCTCTCTAACAGCTTTAAAATCTTCACTTTGCCTCTGGTGTTCTGAAATTTAATTATGATGTACTTAGGTGTGGCACTTAGGTTTGTTTGTTTCTTGAATCATTATCTCTGATGCTTTGGTCAGCAATCTTTTCTATCTGAAAACTCATATTAATCAGTCCTGGGAAATTTTATGTAAAATCTTTGTCTTAGTTTAGGTTTTCCCAGCATAAGACCCTAAGACAAGGATCCAAGAGCAAGTATTTTATTTTGGAGATGGTGCCAGGAAACTTCGATAGAGGATTTGGCAGTTGAGATAGAGATGAGAAGGCGACAACATAAGGTTGGTTTTCAAATAAGTTACCATTGTGGACAACTGTAGTTTAATCCCACAGGCAGATTCTGGTAGCCAGTATGTATAAGTCAGAGTTATCTAGCCTGAAGAGTAAAGAAACTAGGGCATTTTTAGACCAACTCCTGACAGTCGTTGGTGGACGATGGTCCTAGGGAGTGTTGAATTTCCAGCACTTCTAGACTGTTATATAGGCAACAAAGCTGGCTCCAGTAGCTAAGAGCAACCATTAAATTAATAATTAAAAGTTATGGTTATGGTATGCATTGAAGTGATAAGATGAAGAGTTAGGGACAGAACAATAATAGTGAATAGTACAATTTCTTTGATACCTCCTTCCCATCACCTTCTTGAGCTTTCTCTTCTCTCTTTCTGGAACTCCTATTGGTTGAATATGCACCTCCTGGATTGGACCTCTATTTAAAAAAAAAATTCAAAAATTTGCTTCTTGATTTTATCTTTCTAAAATTTAGTTTTTATGACCCAGCTGGTTTGGTTCAATGGTTAGAGTGTCAGCCCTGGACCCAAGGGTCACAGGTTCAATCCTCAGTCAAAGGTATGTACCTCAGTTACAGACTCCCAGCCCAGGTAGAGGTGCATGATAGAGGCAGCCAATTGATGTGTCTCTCTCACATTGATGTTTCTCTCTCTTTTTCTCTCTCTCCCACTTCTCTCTCCCTTCTACTCTCTCTGGAAATGAATGGAAAAAATATCCTCAGGTGAGGATTAAAAAAATTTTTTTTGCTATCACAACTTTAATTTCCAAGAGTTCATCTTATTCTTCATTTATTCTTGTATTAATTACCTTATAATGCATTTTTAAATGTTTTTATTGATTTTTAGATAGAGAGCAAGGAACATGGATGAGAGAGACACATGCACCGGTTGCCTCCTGCACCCCCCTACTGGGGATTGAGCCCGCAACCTGGGCCTGTGGCCTGACTGGGAATTGAACCTAGGACCTCTTGGTCCATGCGATGATGCTCAATTCACTGAGCCATGCCAGCCAGGCAGTATAATGCATTTTTAAAATCCTAAAACTTACTGGTTTAAGACAACAAAGAAGTTCAAATGATCTACTTCTTTGTTTTGTTTTGTTTTTTATGCTTTTGTTGTCATATCTAAGAAACAATTGTCAAATTCAAAGTTAAATTCTTATGACTTCTTCTCTAGGTGGCCTTTAAAGTAAGTGCCATACAGAGAGTTTTATAGTTGTAGCTCTTTCATTTAGATATCTGATCCATTTTGAGTTTGTATATTGTGTAAGGTTGGGGTTCAACTTCATTCTTTGGCATATGTATA